GAACTCGCTGTAGATTCGCCCAGCTTCTCCCTTGTAACGGCTGACTATTACAGTGTTATTACAGCCACTTTAAGCTTAGCTAATTACTTCTAACAACTAAAAATAAACATATAATTAACTAGTATTAAAAAGCAATAAAACTAAGGAGTTTTAAGCTCCAAGAGTGGCGTCCAAAAGGGTGTGTAACATCCCTCTTAAATGCCCATCAAAACCGAGCGTAACCTCCTCTTTATTCCCTTGCTTTGGCTGTCTCCTAAACAACAAGTATCCAAGAAGATCCTTTCCCCAAAGAAAAGAAAGAATCCAAGGCACCCAAGTAAACACCTTCTACGCCTAGTCATCTATCCAAGTCAAGCATGACTTGTATAATGACAAAGAAACATCAAAGCCCATGCGTTGCGCTTTGTCTAACTTGGACCCATGAACGAACAACCCATGGACAATAGGAACTTGATCTTTTTGGACCCTTGAACGTGTGTTTGGCCCTTTTGAATTGTTAGGTTCATTGGCTTGTATGAGTTCCGGATCATGGATCAATTCCGGATCAATATGTATCTGTCGTTGGCTGATATATTAGTTTTGTTGGCTGATAAGTTCTTATTAGTATCTAATATGTCCCTAATGTTGACTGATATCAGACATCAATTAGCTGATATGAGTTATTTGTTGGCTAATATGATACTACTATATTTATCTCTTTCTCTCTCCTCTTTCTTCCTCTCTCTTTGTTTCTCACGCCACCTCCCACCCAAGAATCAACAAACCATAACCATAACCTCACTCACCTTAACCTCACGCCACACCCAACCAACCACCACCTTAACCTCACGCCACCACCCTAACCTGCTGCTGCCTAAATTGCTACGAGCCATCACGACCCTTCCCCTGCTGCTGCCCGTAGCCACCACCCCTCCCCTGCTGCTGCCCTGCTACGAGTACCCTACACACCCACACCACAACTCCTGCCGAAGCCCAGAGCATCCACGCCTACACGGCCAGACGCGTAGCCAGGCGGAGTGCCCAACCACACAAACCAGCAGGGAACTCCATCGATCAGCCGCTACTTCAAATCTAGGGTTCCAATCGATGATCGTCATCGACATCCACCATTGTCGTCATTGTCATCTACAGACACATGAACTGTTGGGTGCGAACGCCCGCACCCAATAGTTTGTGTATATCAAATCGAACAAGAATAAGGCTTTTTCACTTTACCTTATTTTTGATGAATTGAAATTATTTTTACTGAACTAAAATTATTTTTACTGAACAGAATTGAACTTATTTCTACTGAACTGATGAATTTTTTTTTTTAAGGTGAGGTGAACAGGGCCTAATCACGGTAGATCACATCAAATCAACATCTCCTACTCAATAATTTTTTTTGTTCATTATATATAATTGTTTAATTTATGTTTTATCTTAATACTGTAGTAAACTAGTAATAATTACTAAACTACTGACTAAAATTTAGTTTTATTGGTGTAATAATAGTATAATACTAGTAGTTGAATAATGGACAATATTTGAAAATATTTCCATCGATCTAAAATAACAGACATACATTGACCGCAAAAAATCTAACAATATAAAAAATAATTCTTGTGCATTTGTGAAACATTAATTACAATAAAAGCTATACATGGGAAATTTCGACCCGGCATCAATAATTCAATACTATTTCGATAAAATTTGGTCATGAACACAAAGCTCAAAATATTAAATATTATGTGTGTCAAAAAAAATACTCCTTATGAGAAACCAAATACTTTGGGTCAAGATGGTCAAGTATCGTAAGTCGAAACCTATCCAAAACTACTCAGCCCAATTAGAATTGATCAAAAAACAGTTCTAATATTCAAACTTAAAACTTTGATCTTAGAATTCAAATTTCAACACTTACTTTCAAATGGTGGTAAATTTAGAAACTCCATCTAAGAAAATCAAATGCAATAATAATTATTTATTGTATAATCCCATATCAAATAAAAAATAAAATATAAAAACAAAAAAATAAACACCAAAAAAATCCAAATCGGATAAGATTAGACCTGGCAAATGGGTCATTCAGGTCGATTCTGGGTCGAGTCACTTTCGGGTCGGGTCATTTCAGGTCAGCTAACATTCAGGTCGGGTATGGGTCGGGCCGGGTCGATTTGAGTTTCGGGTCAACTTTGGGTCAGGTATCGGGTTGAGTTAGGGTCGGGTCAATTTTGGGTCGGGTATGTTCGGGTCGAGTCAATTTCGGGTCAAGTATATTCGGGTTAGGTTAAAATCTGGTCTTCGGGTTGTTACATATGTGAATCAAGCTCAAATCAATAATTTTATACGGAGTATATATTTTATTTGTTATTGTTATAATAAAAACTATCAATTCAGTTTATAAGCTTAGCTACGGTTGAAGATGAACAATTGAGTTATTTTTGGTACAAGACAGTTTAAGTTCAATTATAAAGTAATTTTAATTCGGGACTTTTTTGGTATCGGGTTTGTTCGGGTCAATTTCGGGTATCGAGTATGTTCGGGTCAAACACTTTGGGTCAGGTCAGTTTGGGTGTCAGGTCGGGATCGAGTCAACTCCATTTTCGGGTCGGGTATGGGTCGAGTCGGGTCATTTTTGGGTCAATTTCGGGTTATGGGTCGGATCATCGGGTCTGAGTTAAAATTGCCAGATCTAGATAAGATCATATGACATAAACTGAAAAAGTTTAGATTATATAAATAAATTTCATATAAAATCATATCAGGTAAGTTGAACGAACATAATAACCATAGATAATCATATATATAAGAGACGCTTCTTCTCCATTCTGGTATTGTTGGTCCGGGACCGGCCTTCGATGGTGCTCTTAGTCTTTTTAACAGCGCTGCGGAGACCGACCTTTTGAGTAACCCTAGGGAGATCGCTGCCCCCAAACTCATGAAAAAGTTGGCAGATATATATTTCACGAAGGTCAGTGCATCTGCGGATTCCACTTTCTCCTTAACTCCGCGTCAGGTAGCCTTATGGAAGTCCCAACAGGGGGATCTCTCTTCGGCCTGGTTGCGGACGGTCCCGATATCGGGTTTGGGTCAGACTATGAATGTGTCTTGTGCTGAGATGGTGGGTATTAAACATCGGCACAATGTTGTTCGTGACACCCTTGTTGATATTTGTATTCGGTCTGGAATCTCTGCTCGAAAGGAGGTTAACATTGGGTTGATTGGAGGAAACGGCGGGGCTCTACGACCTGTAGATGTGCTGCTTTATTCCTGGGATAGAGGCCTTGATGTATGTGTTGATTTGACGGGGTCTTCACCTTTGACACAATCGGGGTTGTCTGACTTCGTTCCTGGTCGTGTTGTGTCGGTGGCGGCTCAGCGGAAGCGGAAGCGGGACAAGTATGGGGCGCGTTGCAGGGCTATTGGCTATGGTTTTATTCCTTTCTCCTTTTCTTCGTTGGGGGAATTAGAGAAGGATGCTATTGTATTGCTGAAGCGGGTTCAGGCGTTCGCTAAGACTCAGGATATTGGTGCTCGTGCAGCTGCTCACATCTTCAGCAAGATCGGGTTCGCTATAGCTAGAGGGGTGGGGGCCCAGATTGTATCTCGGCTCCCTACCAATTTCTTGTAAATTGATTGACTCTGTACGTTTTGTTTTTTATAATAATAATAATAATAATAATAATAATAATAATAATAATAATAATAATAATAATAAGTTGGAGAATTAGAGAAGGAGACTGTTGCATTGCTGAATCGGGTTCAAAAGTTCTTGACGACTCAGGACATTGGGGCACGTGCTACTGCTCATATTTTCACTAGAATAGACTTTGCTATAGATAGAGGAATGGGGGACCCACATTGTATCTCGGCTTCCCACTAATTATTTTTAGGTCCTTCCTTCCCCTAATACAAAGCCTCTTTTGATTTTTGCGTGGGAATTAGGAAAGTTGTAAATTCTTTATTAAAAGTACATACGTGCATGTGGGGTTAGAGAGAGATAGAAAGAAAAAAAAAAGTAGTTGAGAATAATTGAAAAAATAGAGAGAGAAAGTGTTGGAAATTGATGTTAAAAGTACAAAAAAGTAAAGGAAAAAAAGATAACAACTCATTAAAAAGAGGGTAATAATGCCAAAATATACAACCTTTAAATAGAAAGAGACACTGTATTTTGGTTTATCCAAAAAGGAAATAAGACTTTGTATTAGAGGACGAAGGGAATAATAATAATAATAATAATAATAATAATAATAATAATAATAATAATAATAATAATAATAATAATAATAATAATAATAATAATAATAATATATCTATCTCAAAAAAAAAACTATATATACTATATACTAAAAGACGTTTCGAATCAAGTTCACATGCCATGTGGCACTCTCTCAACTTTTCAATGGCTATTATTCCATGTCATTACACATTAAAAAATTTAGAAATGTGATTCATATAAGATTCGAACTCTTGATTTTAAGGTTAAATTAGTAGGAACATAACTGTCGAGCTATGTCTAGATATGTGTCATTTATAGCAAAAATAAAATTATTATATAACAGCATAATATACAAAAATTCGATAAAATTATTATTGAATCATAAAATTATACAGCGCAATTATTTTAATACGCAATTTTAATCATGAATATCATTCACAATTATTATAATACATGTAACAATCCCGGGGCATCGCCTTGGCCCAAAAATATAATATATCAAAAAGTGTTCCTAAGAAAGTCTATATGCCACATAGACCACTCATTACGCCATGTCACACAATTCACTCCTCATTATGCCACATCACCCGTTCAACTCCTTATCATGGATGAGAAGGCTTGAACACTTAACCTCTTAGAAAAAAAATATTATTATTTAACTATATAGGCTTAGGGGTGAGGCTTTTACCGGGTACCCAGTCAAAATTTTAGGTTCCGGACTCAGAATTGGATGGGACTGTGTAATCCCCCATATTTTCTTAGTAAATAATAATTATATATATTTTTATGTATACGATTATTTTAATAATTTTATAATTATACAAAAATACTTTGGGAAGATTTCAAAAAAAAAAAAAAAAAACAAAAACAATAACTTATACTTTAATAGCATTTTACTCACTTTGGGCTATGATTACCATTCCAATTCTACAAAAAATAAAAGAAGCCCAAACCTCCCAAACCCTCATTTCTAATTAAGTAAACTTCTCCTAAAACCCTCCTACTGCCCTCTCCTTATTACTCCTCTACTGCTTCCTCCTTTCCCCATCCACAATTCACGACACTCACAAAAAATAAAAAAAAATAAAAATTCGCTGCTGCCCCTTCGTTGCTGCTGTCGCCTACGCTGCTGGTGTCGCCGCCGCACTGCTGCTGCCGCCAGCGACCCGTCGCTGCTGCTCGAACCACCAGCCGGTTTCCTTTCATTTCCCTTTTCTTCTATCTTCCTCTTTTCTTGTTTAATTTCTTTAAAGATTTAACCTTCATATGAATTATTGATTTGATTATGCATATACATGATGAATATTGCAAATTTATTGAGTTATGTTGCGAATTTGTTGAGTTTATGATATACTAAGTACATGATTAATATCAGATTTTATTAGCTACGAAATTAGGGTTCAAAAATCGTGATTTTCGCAATGTTTTGGGATTAAACCATGAATAATTGATTTAACTAATTACTTTGTATTTAAATATGGTTCTACCTTTAATTTTCGATGATTATATGTAATTTTTAGATTTTCAGAAAAGCTGATTTTGGGTTTTAAATGTTGATTTTTCATGATTTGTGGGTTTAGAACGTGAAGATTGAATTATCTAATTGTAGTATGTGTAAAATTATGTTTAAATTCAATTATCTTGATTATAAACTAAATTTCAGATTTTAACCTTAACTTTAAATAGCTTTAAATCATGGTTTTATGACGGATTTTCAAGTTCTCAACATACTAACGTAATGTTTATGGGATTGTTTTACAAGCTTCAAACGAATTTTCAGATTTATAACACCACTTTAAAGTTGCTGAAATTTTTCCTATAAGCCATATTTTTATGATTTGTAGCATATAAACCCATAGTTGAAGTACTAAATTATTAACTTTGGCTATTGGGAATAATTTAAGAGCATCATTTCAATGGTTTAAAGGATTTTAAAATAGTTTGGTATTGCTGTAAAATATATTGCTTGAGTATTAATTGAACTATGGTTGTTTTGTTTAGGAAGGGACTTCGTAGAAGGTGACTTCTAGCCTTAAAGTGGCCAACCAATTTGTGTACTCAGGGTACGTATAAGAATACGAGAAACCTTGATTTTAGGAGCATGTTTAGGGACTTGGAAAAACCTAGAATCATGCTAGGGAACTTGTGGATTGGTTGAAATTGTTTGGTAATGAGTTGATTGATGATAAATGTGATGATTGGTTTAATTTATGTATGAGAAAATTTGCATTGATTTTCCTTATGAGCATTATTTATGCAATAATTTGCAGAGTGAGCTTAGAAGCAAAGCTACAAGTATACATATGGAATGAATAATTTTGGTTACTTGTTCATTTATATTGAAATGGAATGAGTAAAGGTAGAGTTAAAGTCTTATAAAACAAAATTGTGGATATGAGGTGCCTTATGCATTTAAGGTGTTTATACACCGAGGTAGTTAAAGGATTCAATAATAAATGTTGTTTGTCACTGGTAAATTAAGAATTGAATTGGAAACTTGAATGGTTTTAAAATAGTTGATGTATGATTGGTTGTATTGTTTGCATATGAGTCATCACCAAATTTAAACTGGTAAATCACGTAAAGTGCAAGAAGGATGAGCAATAAAACTCTGGATTTGTGCACATCTAGAGTAATGACAAACAGGGGTTGGGGTTCACGGGGTATTAGCCGTGCACTTTTCAGAGGCCGTCTGATCTACGAGTCTCTTGTTTTAAATTCTTTTAAAATTATAATGAGTTAGATGAGATCTCATACTAGCTATGGCCACGGAGTCGCGCCTGTCTGCCATTGGATGTTTATTAATGTCTTCTGAAAGAGGCATAGGGTTTTCTTATTTAATGTTCCGGAATGGAGCACAGGGGGACAACCCGGTCTATTGCTTAATCTAATCAATTAATGAAGTGATCAATGCTATTTAAATAAAAACTTAGTAATGAGTAACTATGGAGTCATGTGTTCGAGTCAATGATAATATTGTGAGTGTATGGAATGCTTGTTAGTATCATGCTAGAACTCTTTACTATATTTCGTAACTTGTATGTACTCAGCGTTGCTGATTGCGTGCTTTTGTGTGTTTTCTTTGGTCATGGCCTTCGCCTTCAATGACCTTGTAATGATCCAATTATTACACTTGTAATATTGGGGAGCAGATTCATCACAGGTTTTTGCATAAACTGTCTTGCATCAGGGTGATGGGATTTGAGTGGAGCGTTGGTTAATTACTTAGCTTATTTCACTTCATAGACTGAGTTTATTTGACTATAATTTTACTTACTTCCTATTTTATATGGATTTTGAATAAGGGCCTTTATGGTTCCAACTTGTAAATCTAAAGCCTGATTTTGGTTTTTAGTTTCAAAACTTATATCCTTTTCTTTTTAAAATAAAAAAAACTAAGTCAGTTTTCTGCTGCTGATTTCTGAAACTAGCCTTAACGTTTGAACACGTGGCGGTAACACTCCAATAATTCTTTCACATGTTATTACAGGTTATAAAGGTTATTACAGGTTATGCAGGTTAATACAGGATTTTACAGGTTTTTGTAAAGAGAAAATTATTGGGGTGTTACAGACTGGGTCCTAAAATTTGGAACCGGAATTGGAATTGGTTCAACCGGGTTCTAAAATTTAGGTCCTGGAATTGGAACCACCAGGTACCGGTTCTGGTTGCGAGTACCTACTTATGTATATAATTGGTAAATATAATATAAATTGTAATATTTATTTTAGTCTATTTTCATTTTTAACGTTTAACACTTGTATTTATTATATGCACTAAGCTATTTTATTTATGTTAGGTATTAAAAATATTTTTTTATTTTACTAACTAGATACATTTAATATAATTTTATTTTTAAAAACTTATTTAGTGTAACATATGTTGGGTAACCGGGTACCCAACCGATTCCGGGTCCAAAATATCGATAATTGGAATTGGAACCGATTGCTTAATTTATTACCCGGAATTGGAACCACCACCCGGTGGTTCCAATTTCGGTTTTGGACCCGCCAGTTCGTAATCGATTCCGATTCCGGTTCCAATTCCGGGTACCCGAAACTTTTGCTCACCCTTTTATAGGCTAATTATCAATTATGCTTTAAATTTGTACACAAATTATAATGTACTACAAAAGTATCGAAGACACATATTACGTACACACTATTAAATGCCTTTAAAAATTAACAGTTGCATAACTACAGAAGTAGTCACCTGTGACAATGCCCAGGCTACTCACTAGTAAATACATTTTTAAAAAATGTATTCTAATCTTTCCTTTTTGTTTTTCCCAATTGAAGTCATTTGTTTCTCAATCCATTATTTTATTTTTATACATACTCACTCACTAGACAAAAAAGCTAATTTGGCACCGGTTCAAACCCCCCCTAAGGCACCGGTTTTGAACCGTTGGGGATTTGAGGGGTGCCAAATCCCAAAAAATTTGGCACCGGTTCGAAACCGGTGCCAACTAAAGCAATTGGCACCGGTTAACCGATGCTAACTACACACTTTAGCACCGGTTAACCGGTGCGAAATGTTAATGCGCGCTGTTTTTTTTTTTTTTAATTTAAACTTCAATTGGCACCGGTTAACCGGTGCCAAATATGCCTTCAAACAGTAAAAAAAAAAATATTTCAGCATAAAATTTCTTCATCAATCCAATTTATACATTCGACCCAAAACATGAAATCAAACAAGCTAAGGCTATATTCATCAAATAAATTGTTTTTTTTTACAGTTTATTAAAAAAACAGAAAAATTGCTGAAAAATAAATTACAATCCGAAACCCGGAAACTTCGAACTTCATACTCAGCAAATTCACGTCCTTCAAATCTGCATCAATTGAAACAATAAAATCAGATAAACTCAACAAAAATCGAACAAATAAACCCAAAAAATCGAACAAATAAAACTCAAAAAAATCGGAAATCAATAGAACAAATTAACCCAAAAATCGAACAAAAATCGATCAAAAAAACCCCTTAAAAACGAACGATTAACCCAGATAAGTTCAACAAAAAACCCAATTATAAATAGAAAAAATAAACCCAAAAAAAATCGAAAATAAATAGAACAAATAACCCCAAAAAATCGAACAACGCACTAAGATTCAACCCAATAAATTCAACCAAAAAAACAAAATATAAATAGAACAAATAAACCTAAACAAATTGAAAGACAATCGAAAAATTAAACAAAAAATCGAACACAAATCGATCAATTAAACCCCATTCAAAACGAACGATTAACCCAGATAAATACCAAAAAAACAAAAAATAAATAGAACAAATAAACCCCAAAAAATCGAAAATAAATTGAAGAAATAAACCCAAAAAAAGGAACAAAAATCGATCAAATAAACCCCTTAAAAACGAACGATTAACCCAGATAAATTCAACCAAAAAAACAAAAAATAAATAGAACAAATAAACCCCAAACAAATCGGAAAAAAATCGACAAATAAACCCAAAAAATCGAACAAAAATCGATCAAATAAACCCCTTAAAAATGAACGATTTCGCACAAATACACCCTCACAGATTCAACCCACAAAACGCATAAACCTAGAATCGTGAAAAACCCAGAATTCGTGAAAAACCCAGCCAAAATTGTGAAAAACCCAAAACTCAGAAACCCTAACCTCAAATTTCTGATTTTAGGTGGTGGCAATGTTTGTTGTGGTTGACAGCAGCGGCTTCGTTGTTGTGCTTGGTTGGAGAGAGAAGAACAAAGATGAAAGATGAGATCAGAGATAAGGAATTGAAGGAGAGAGGCATGCATGCATTCAGAGATAAGGAATTTCAGGGAGCTAAGAGAGAGAGAATGAAAAATGAATTGAAGAAGAAATGAAGGAGTTAAAACCCAGAAACTCGGCATAGCTTTGTTTTAAACTCGTTTTTTTTTTTTTTTTTTTTAAATAATCAGTTGGCACCGGTTAACCGGTGCGAACTCTATTCTTTTTTTTTTTAAAATAAAAAAAAAACAGTTGGCACTGGTTTGAACCGGTGCTAATTAGCGTAATTGGCACCGGTTCAAGTAAGAACCGGTGCCAACTCTGAAATTTTAACTCGCGCTCGTTTTAGTTGGCACCGGTTTTCATGAACCGGTGCTATAGGGGGGGTGCCTATTTAGTTTTTTCTATTAGTGACTTCATTTATGATTAATCCATTTTATTTTCGGATTTTTCACCAAATACCACTAAGTTCTTTTGTAATTCACCATATACCACACAAAATTTTCTAATACACCAAATACCACTGAGTTTAACATAAATGTCACAACATGCCATTTTCGTTAACTCAATTAGTCATTAACGTTAATTATGCCACGTGGCAGCTTGTAATTGGTTCTAATTAATATTATGTATTTAATTAATTAACTTTAGAAAAAATATTTTTAAAAATAAAATAAAAATTAAACACCACCAACACAACCACCACCGCCCCTGCCCAACCCCAACCTTCACCCCCGGCTAGCTGGCCGCCACCATCCCCCCGCCGACGACATTCTAGACCCCAGCCACCTCTTCCTCCCGAATTCTCAACCACCACCTGTGAATTTCCCTCTCCCTCCCGAAATCCCTAGCCACCACACCTTAGTCGAATTCCCCAGCACCACCTGCGAATCCCGCTCTCCCTCCCGAATCCACTTGCGCATCACCAATTCTCTACTACGATTTGCTTGTCATTCTGTCAATATATAACCAAACAAGCCGATTCAAGAACATTCATATCAATATATATATATATATATATATATATATATATATATATATATATATATATATATATATATATATATATATATATATATATATATATATATATATATATATATATATATATATATATATATATATATATATATATATATATTGCCCTTCTCACTCCCTCAATAAAAATATAACCATGTAACCATAAAGATTACAAAAAGCAGCTGAGTCGGGGCAAAAGCTTAAACAGTCAGCCAAACACAATCATGATTATAAAGTAGTACCAAGTATATACGAACAAATCAATTGCTTTTATAATCATCAATCCTTTGATCTTTTCAATGAAACCATTATTTCATTAGCATAACTACTTCCCAGAACATAATTGTTCGCAAATCTCACCACACAAGATTGAAAGCACGAAATGCGCAAAACTAAAATTAGAAAACACCTGCGATTGGCGGCGCCGCGGCGGGGCTTTTATTGTTGGTGCGAGGAGAGACAACGGCAGCAAAGCTGCTGTTCGTGAAGGAGAAGGGAGTTGTGGTTAGGTGGGGTGGGGAGTTCAGGCTCGTTGGTGGGGTTTGTGGGAGTTTAAGGTGGTGGGGGTTAGCTGCGGTGGTCGGGAAGGGGTGGAATCGGGGCTACAGAAGGGTTGGGTGGAATAAGGACTGGTTGGTGCCTTGGTGATGGTGGGATGAAACCGGAGTGCTGCAGTGGTGGTGGGAATGGGTGGAGCACTGGTGGCGGGGAAGGACAGAGAAAAGAATATTTTCTTTTTTTTTTGATAATTAACTAAATAATTATTTTAAAATTAAATAATTAAAAAGGGAACCAATTATATTTTGCCACATGGTATTATTAGCCTTAATGACTAACGATGTTAACGTCCGTTAGTCATTAATGGTATGTTGTGACATTTATATTAAACTCAGTGGTATTTGGTGTATTAGAAAATTTTGTGTGGTAAATGGTGAATTACGAAAGAACTCAGTGATATTTGGTGAAAAATCCGTTTTATTTTTATACATACTCACTTCATCTAATCTTTAGTTTTTGTTTCTCAATCCATTTTATTTTATACATACTATGCTTGCCACATGGAGGAAGAAAATATAGGGTGAAGACTAGAGTAATGTTTTTCTAATAATTCATATAAAATATAGTTGGTATAGTATATATGTAAATATGTAATTGTTAATGGGAGAGATAGTATTTCATAGGCCCTTGTAAAGTAAAGGAGTGGTGCATTTGTTAGGTTTTGACTAGTATAAATCAAATACAAATTATGTGGGAACAAAACCTAAAATAGTGTATAATAATAAAAATTATGCAACCAAATCAATACAAACAATTGTATTCAAACCAAGCACAACTAACTCAAAGAATTATAGAAATTACAATGAAGTTAACTAATATTAAAGATTATAAACTTGCCTCACTTCCAAGCCTTTCAACAAACATGAACATGAGAATTCCAATGACCACGTGAGTCTCAAACCTTGATACTTTATCTTAGGCGTGTGAAACACTTTTCTAAAGAGATTAATTTCCCCCACAACGGTGCTTGGGATTTTACCGCAAATTCTCTTTGAGATACAAAAGACAACACTACGATCTTAGCACTAAGAATCGTAATTAGATGATAAATTCTCAAATATTTGGCTAGATTAATAGAGTTTCAATGAAGAGTTTGCATGGTTCT